TATTTGAGAGAGAGACAGAGCGTGAGCAGCAGAGGGGCAGAGGGAGAGGGAGACACAGAATCCGAAGCAGGCATCAGGCTCCAAGTTGTCGACACAGAGCCCGACACGGGGCTTGAACCCACAAACCGTGAGATTATGACCTGAACCGAAGTCGAACACTCAACCGACTGAGCCACCCAGGCACCCCACGACCTGAGATCTTGACCTGACTTAAAATTGACAGTCAGATGCTTAACGGACAGAGCCATCCAGGAGCTTTCTTTTGCAAAAGTTTCAAGTGGCAGCAAAGAAATCTACAATTCTTTCTTTTGAATTCTTAAGATGGTAACTCATTATACTGAGCTGTCAGCACAGAGCCTGACATGGGGCTCAAACTCACAAACTGTGAGATGGTGACCTGAGCTGAAGTCAGACACTCAACTAATGGAGCCACCCAAGCGCCCCTGCTCAAAGCTAGGATTAATCTACCAGCTGGTGTTTTGTCATTACTGTACCGTGAAAGTCTACTTCCAATACACGTCCCCTATCTGCCGATTTCCCAACTTGCCCCCAGGTAGCAACTGGGTTCATTTTTTGTCTTTGCACATGTATATGTAGTCTTAATTCCCCTCCTCCCCTTTATAACAGAAAAAGTAGCAAGTTATACACACCTTGCTTTAAAAAAATTTTTTTTAACGTTTATTCATTTTTGAGCCAGAGAAAAACAGAGCATGAGCAGGGGAGGAGCACAGAGCAAGGGAAGGAGACATAGAATCCAAAGCAGGCTCCAGGCCCTGAGCTGTCAGCACAGAGCCGGAAGCTGGGCTCAAATCCACAAACTGTGAAATCATGACCTGAGCTGAAGTTGGATGCTTAACTGACTGAGCCACCCAGGCGTCCCTCCACACCTTGCTTTATAAACTTTATGTTTTGCTGAACTTTCCATGGTAGCACATAAAGCATTTCCTCATTCCTTTTTACCACTACATAGATTTCTGTTATATGCATGTACCACGATTTATTTAACTAGTTTCCTTGCGGTTAGGCTTTTGGATTGTTCCCAGCTTTTTTTGTCATTTCAAAAACTTCAGTAGTGACCTTTATGTTCATACATCATTACATGTGTATGTAAGCTAAATCCCCAGAAATGGGATTGTGGAGTCAAAAAATATGGAAGTGTATAGCTTTGATATCTGTCACCCAGATGACCTTCATACTGATCATAAACCATCCTGTATATCCAGAGCTGCAGAGATTCTAGAGGGTAGATTTTAGAGGAGGAATTGGACAGCCACAAATGTGACTCTTGAAGTTTATAACTTGCTTCCTGAAGAGATGGAGCGTGCTTTGCCAGCACGTGGGCTTCCCTTGGAAGTCCCCTGAACCTTCTGGGAAGTGCGTATTTACCCAAGCCAAACCTTGTGTGGCAGGGGCACAGAAACTCTTCTCTTCCATTCATTACAACAGTATATTTCCTCCTTGTGTGCCAGAAGGATCCGGTGAAGATCATGTCTCCTTCATGGCCCAAATCACCGTGCTATATGCCAGGGAAATGTCAATCAGCAGTAATTCCTTTATTGGCCCTGAAGGTTATAACAGGACCAGCTAAGATATACGCTTAGGTGTTTTAAACTTGAGCCCAAGAAGAAATGATTAAAAACTAGGCTATTATTAATAATGGCCAAGAATGCCCCCGTCTGCCCCCACCCCCAAAGACTGAGGAAATGACGTTAGCAAGATATCTTCTCCCAGAGGTAATGTGAGTATGAAGGAAAATTGGAAAAAAGATAGGAAACAGCACAGCAAAAGAGACAAAAAGTAAAGAAGGGAAGAATTTGACCCATGCACACTTATAAGGAAACTGATAGAAAGTTATATGCAGAGCCTCTAGGGCCTATAATCAACTCAAGAAAAAGCTAGCATCTCCTAAGCATTAGGGATGTAGACTTTTCAAAGTTAATACTGTCTCTCCCCCATGCTGGCTTTGGGCCAACTCAGTATCCTGAGTGGGATCAATGGCCCTGAGTCCTCCTTGCCTGCCAGTAGCTCCTGGCCTCATGCCCATTCTCTCTCAGAGCTGGAGCCAGGGCTTCTAACTCTGTCCCCAGTTGTCCCCAGGCTTTAGTTATCCATGGTTCTCAGGAATTCCCATGGAAACCCTTTGATTCTGTTCTCTCCTTTTTTTTTTTTTTTTTTTTTTTTTTTTTTTTTTTTTTTTTTTTTTACCATGAGCACTCACCCTGGCCAGAAAGAAAATATGCTTTCATAGAGTGAGTCCCATCTCTTGTCACTGTGTTGGGTCTAGCCAGGACAGCCAGGGAATACTGTAGGCAAAGCTCATTTCTGCAGAGACTGTAATCAGCCGTAGAGATGGCTTGAGGGCCTGGGAGAAGTGAGCAGATATGGCTCCATGAAGAAAGGGCAATTCAAGTTTTTTATGGCAATCTCTAATCTAACCACCGCCTCTCCCCCACTGTCCTGTACCAACCTCTTCTGTAGTCCTTGGAGCTGGTAGGCATTTGTGAGAAGTGTATGGCATGAGATCTCTCCATTCCAGAGACCCTAGTCCACCTTTCCAAGTGTTCTTTCCTGGCTGTTCAGTTTCTCAAATTCCACCCTTGCTGTTGTCAGAATCTGAGGTCTGCTCATCGCTAGCCTGGTCTTTGATAGTAAGTAGCCTCTGTCTTCTGTTTCTATTCTCCATCATCCACTGCTGCCAAAAACTATCATTTTAAAGCACAAATCTATCACTCCTCTCCTTGAAATCCTTCAATAACTTTCCAGTACATATAGGAATAAATCAAAATCCCCAAGTCTTGTACCCCAGAGTCCTTCATGATCTGATCTCTGACCCCCCGTCAGTCCCCTCCTTTTTGGCACATGAGGCTCCATACTTTACTTTCAGGTCTTTCAAAGTTGCCTTGTTATTTAGAAGCCCTTCTTCCTGAGATTTAGTTGTTCCCCAAACTTTCCAGTACCATCCATCTCTCACTTTAAATAACTGTAGGTGAATGTCTCTCCCACTGGGCCGCTGTAACTTAAGGGTAAATGGTATATCTTATCTTATTTACAGGTACATGAAACTTATAACTGCTTAAGGCTCTTTAAACACTTGTTGAATAAATAATAGTTGCATAT